AGAGAGAGAGAGAGAGAGAGAGAGAGAGAGAGAGAGAGAGAGAGAGAGAGAGAGAGAGAGAGAGAGAGAGAGAGAGAGAGAGAGAGAGAGGGCTGACACACTCTTCTCATCATATATATATATTTTCTGGCCCTCACCAATTTCCGAACCGGTTTTCATTCGGGACCCATCAAACCACGGGCCAGGAATGAAAACCCCGCCAACGACGAGAAAGAGCACCTAGCACAGTTGGTGGCCAATGAGAGTGTGAGAAAGATCTGTCATCCTACTATTTGCACGACAACAAAATTAGGACCGTCTTCTACAGGTTTCTCTCACCACCCAAGGAAAGCCAGCCACAATACGAAGTTTAACCGGGGTAGCACGAATGCGCCAGTGGGACCGGACGATGAGGCCCGTCCGCACTCCCGTTGACTCCGTCAACAACGAGAGGCGAGGAAGACCCGTCGCCATAGCTGTTTGGCAAGGCGGCCCGGGAATTACTTCGGATGCATATGCGGAAAGCTCTTTGTTGAGGCGATAAGGCACATGAAGGCAAAGCGAGATGAAATGAGAGGGGGGAGAACGAACACAGAGTGAAGGGAGATTGAAAGAGAAGACAGAAAAGAGGGCGGCGATTGAGAGGGCATATCGAGTGGGAGAAGCAGGTGGGAAACTGAGGATTGAAGAAAACTACGGTAAGAACGGTGGCGAAAAAGTTAAAAACTGAAAGGAAATAGAGGTGTAATAGAGGTGATATAAAGGGAGGAGAGGAGGGGGACCGATTATCGCGGAGAGGGAACAGGGAGCACATCTTGGGGGGGAACAAGGAGCACTCGGAGACGGCGAGCGGGAGCAGTGAGTGGGGAGCGCTGGAGGTTAACATCACATGGCAGCAGCAGGTCGAAGAGGAGTCAACACCGCACGTTCGTACGGCGGGGTGAGGAGTTCCATGGCCGGCTGATATCCCGATCTCGCCCTACCCACTTCCAATCTTGCCCCACCCAGTTCCACAAACCATAACCCGCATCCTGTCACTGCTTCTCTGCTTCAAGAGACTATCTATGCATATCTAATCTCCTAAGCATAATACTAATACAGGAGACTTGACAAAAGTGCGCACAACACCGCACAAAAACAATTGAAACTGCCGGTCACGTTGAACACGTGCCCGGGGACTCAGACGGTGCTTTACTACGGCAAAACCGATGCGTAGGGCTATCACAGACCAAACCGCACTGACGTACAAACGACTCTCTGAGTCCGTGAAA